TTTGAAACATAGGGTTAATGAGCGTGTATCAAGGCTCTGTGGTTTAGTACAACTACTACAGTTCATCCAATTTAGAAAGACAAAAAGAAATAAAAGGGAATTGGAATTAGCTCAAGGAAATTATACAGATGTGCAAATGACAGCTTCTGAATGCTTAGTGTGAAATTTCTCTTCAAGGTTCATGCAGATCCTCAAGGGATAGAGCATTTTGAAATGATTAGCTCTTCACATAGTAAAGCCTTCTTCCTTGCAGTCATGGCAACGACTCAGGAGCTCCTCTCTTTTCCCATCCCCTCTACCTTGGCAACAGGAGTGCCGCAGATTTTCAGTCTACGCCTGGTTGGCTCTTCAGCTGCCCAATACAAATTGTGAGTTAAGGTAACTTTTACAAATGTAATGACCCATTGTGACTGATGAGAAAGGAGAGCTGCAAACTGAGAAATCGGATGGTGACCTGGCTTGGTTAGTCTTACCCTCCCAGGTTTGGGATGCAGCAAGAAAGATTAATTTTGCCTCACTTGGAGCCACCCTTGCTGGCAAAAAAGAAAACTAAAATTGGATCCATTAATCCTTAAAAATGGAATAAGATAAAATCCGCATTTCTCCTAGAACCTTGCAGTAAGGAGTTGCCGGGGTTTTTTTCTGATTTACTTTGTTGTTTGTTTGGGTTTTTTTAAATTGCATTCCTTTCTTCAGTGTTTTCCCAGTATCCATGATTTCACAATCAGCTTCTTGTCACTGCTGTGTTTACATGGTCATTCTTAGTAGCAATCTCTCTTTAATTCAGAAATTCGTCCAGACCTGCTAACTGATAGAGTGCTGGTGTTTCCATGTAGAGTTACCTACTAAGTGTGTTAGCTAAATGGAGACTTAAACATAATTAGAAAACCATTGGACTGTTTTCCCGTTAAATATACACGTCTGTGAGCCAAGCAAAGCATTTGTGTCATCTTCTGGGACAAGTATTCTTCTGGATTCCTGTCTCAAGCAGTTCATTAAAATTTTACCACTTGTCTTGGGTGTGAATTTTCAGCAGCTGAAAGACAGTTATCTGGCATCTACAAAATAAATGGGGAGCATACTTGAAGCAGGAGACTCATTTTGGTATATATAAGATTATTTTTTTTTCCTTACTGTTTGTCATTCGGAAAGAGAGAAGTACCTTGAAGTTGAAGGACCTGCTTGGTGGACGAGGGGAAGGCTGTGGACAGTGTCTACCTGGACTTTAGTAAGGCCTTTGACACCGTCTCCCACAGCATCCTCCTGGAGAAGCTGCTGGGCATGGCTTGGACGGGCAAACGCTTTGCTGGATTAAAAACTGGCTGGATGGGAGCACAGAGAGTTGTGGTGAATGGAGCTCAATCCAGTTGTGACCAGTCACAAGCGGTGTTCCCCAGGGCTCTGTTTTGGGGCCAGTCCTGTTTAACATCTTGATCACAGATCTGGATGAGGGGTTTGAGTGCTCCCTCAGCAAGTTTGCAGATGACACTGAGTTGGGAGAGAGTGTTGATCTGCTGAGGGTAGGAAGGCTCTGCAGAGGGACCTGGACAGGCTGAATCCATGGGCTGAGGCCAATTGTGTGAGCTTCAACAAGGCCAAGGCCAAGACCCACCTGGACGTGTTCCTGTGTGACCTGGTCTGGGTGATCCTGTTCTGGCAGGGGTTGGACTGGATGAGCTTTCGAGGTCCTTTCCAACTCCTGATATTCTGTGACTCTGACATCGTACAGAGACGCTGCCTTCACTTACGCGGTCGCAACTTGACTGAAGAAAAGGAGGATTTCTCAGAGCTGTCCTACCACACTCTTCAAAGAGAAAAGCCTTCCACAGTTTTTAAATTTGACTTCTTAGGACTGTCACTGCATCCTTCTGAGAAGATATTCCAGTAGTTTTAAAACATAACCTTTTATTTGTTGATGGCTTTCAGATTAACAGGTTAACAAATTAAGGTGGCATTTTTCCCTTGACTTTCTTACACGTCTTAAGTCATACTCAGCAGATTAAAACAATTTAAATCATTTTCTGCTTAACGTGAAAGGAATAAAGGGGGAATAGTTAGGTGCTGCTGTTGAGGTCAATTTGAGACAAGAACAGCCAGAAGTACAAAGACCTGGAGTCCATTGTCAGTAATGAGGCAACAAGAAACCGGCATTGCCTCCTGCATTTCCAGGTGCCTTGACCATCCCTTCCTCCTTGAGAAACAGTGTGAAGCAAGTGGTGTGGAGAAACTTTCTGAAGCCACAGACAGTTGTGCATTCCGAGACTGCGAGTCTGCCATCTACCACAAGTTCTTGCACTCAAATAACAAAGTCAGGTTTGTTTATATATATTTCTCATCAGTCTTTGTAGTTGGAACAAAGACTTCAAAGGCTGGCTATGTTTGTATGGTCAGTGAAGAACATGACTTCATTACTGAGGATCTACACCTTTCCCATAAACCTCAAGCCTTTTTTTTTTTGTCCTACGCTGGACAGGATGCTGCTTTAAAAAGTCCCTGAAATGTGCTTGGCTGTGTGAGATTTGGCAAGGGTGCTCACTGCTTTGAATAAATCAGATAATCTGAGCCAGATACTCTAGAGCAACTGTGTGACTGAAATGGGTTTATTACTGATTGAATGCAAACCTTTTTATCTGTGTCTACTGAAAAGCACCATAAAAGGTAATGGCAATGTTGCTAAGGAACTGTTTACCTGCCAAATGTATCTGTGCGATGCATGAGGTGACCATGGGAACCAATTTGGTGGCAATTATTTAAAGAAAACCTTGCAGTGAAATTATTATTGCATGTATACTGAAGATTTCTGCAGTTGCATTTGAAAAGCTCATTTCTGGGAAAAGATACAATAACTAGAAATCCATTTAGAGAGAAGGGGTCAGCATAGGTCCTGCATAAAAAATACATTACTAGGGCCAGGTTTTTTGATGTATATTTTACAAATCGTGTTTTGAAAATAAATAGGAAATATGTATTGGGTTATCAACGCTGTGCAATTTTAAAACGGTTTGGTATGTATTCCTAGGGGGCTCAGTCTTTCGCCTGATTTCATCTTCCTTAAAAAATTAATTACAGGTTGCTATATTCCCCCCAGAGAACTTATTAACTATGTCTCTCCCTCCAAAGAGTGCTTGGTTCTCATGAGATAAAATGCCTTAGGCTAAAAGCTGCTGATTCCATTTCTGATTCATAAAGAAATTTTTTTTAACTTATTTTTATCCTTACTGACATCTTTCACGACAGATAACTGGTAGCACTGCGTTAGGATCGAGGCTGTTACGATATTGTCTTATAAAGGAGGCCTACACTGCACAAATGATTCTTCAGGGGTTGAATTTTACGTGAAAGGTTGTGTACAAAGATGATTTTCAAGCATGTGTGTCCAATTCAAAGAAAAACTTTCAAATTTGCTACAAACATTGAGACTGTAGGAGAACCTCCTGTTGCTTGAAGCAACGTTTATGGAATATTTTTACTTACAGGTTGCCCTCAGGATGCTACCAGTGAATGCTGGTGGCATTCTACCATAAAGCCATTATGGCACCATTACCATTTTAACCTAGTAATGAATTATATAGCAAATCTGAGATAACAGCTGGTGTAAAATTGCATTAGGACTTGTTTCTTTTTCCAGTAACAGCCCAGCTGACAACTGTCATCTGTATCTGGGTAGAGTAATTAAGAAAGAATCATTATAAGGAGTTTATAATGGCAGGTAGAGTTTGTTTGGATAATTAAGGGACATTTCAGTTGTAAATAAAGAGGGGTGAGGATGATTGTAGCTCAGATGAGAAAATACTCTAGAAAATTAAAGTTTTGTATGGTTCCAGATGAATACTTGTATGGATCTGCTTTTAAAAAGATCGATTATTTAATCCTTAAATTATTCTGATTGGGCTTGCCTTACTGCTTTGCTTTTACATCACTTCAAGTTGCATGGCTCTGTCTCGCTGTGTCTCTCTGCAGCTCTCAGCCCAAGAGCGATGTCAAACCAATGCAGAGGGAAGCAGCGTCTGTCAGAAAGACACTTCAAGTCCTGCACGTGTTCATTTGCAGACTTCGTGACTCGTGCTGGGCCTTCACTTGCAGGCACATACAACAATAAGGGCGTTTTCAACACCTCTAACAACCCCAATTAGTCAAGTGTATTCTTTTGTAAAACTGGAGTGTATTTATGCACATCATCCACAGTGGAGCTGGAAAACATGTCCAGGTGTAGAAAACAAGCTGTTTCTGTACTTATATTGGTACTTGTGAAGGTATTTTAGTATTGCAGAGAAGGCAATCCATACAATTACAGTGGGAGGATAATTAGGTAGACAGTAAAGGTTTTCCAAAGGTACTGTTTGAATGCCATGTCTCATGAATTCAAATAAATAGCTTTAATTTGCACTGTAAAAGCAAATTGGAAGTTGGCGATATATTTAGCATCTATTTTATTTTTTTTCCCGATTTCTTAAAACAAGGCGTCTTTTTTATTCTTCCTGTGGTGACGTGTGGGGTCAATCCTGTTTTTAGTTCCAAGTGGTGAAGACTAAATGCTTCTCCCCCAGTTAGCTTCGATGTGCTCACTTTGAAACAGTGAAGCAGAGAATTGGGGTTCTTTCTTACTCTGGGAAATGAGCTTTTTTCTGTGCTAGAGGTCTGCCTTTGGGACAGGACTGTGATGGAACTACGCTGCTGGAACTAAGTTACTTGAAAGTCCCTGAGCTTACCTGTCCTCACCATCGTGGTGTCTACTGGGAGCTCACGTTATCTGAGCTAGTGTTTAGCATTTCTTTGTGCTACTTGGAAGGTCCGAGTTGAATTTATTTAACACACTGTGTGTCTCTCCAGTATATATATTCCATCTTTTTTTCTGTAGACAGAGACTCATTCCTCTTCAAGAGTCCAGTATGGTTGTTTCTTTGCAAAGCACAGATGAAAAGTGATTCTTGTAAACAGTGTAGTGACCAATTTGATTGTTTAAAGTTATTGCTTAATTAAAACTTCTGTTTGTCTTTCAGACACCCCGAACGTGTGAAAACTTTATCAAATTGTGCAAGAAGAACTACTATGATGGGACGATTTTTCACAGATCGATTCGTAACTTTGTGGTGAGTTGACAAAATCCCGTGTAATGCACAATATGCAATGTCCTCAAAATCTTTATTTAGCTTAATTCAGCTTTAGTTTCTTCCATGCATTACAGCTTGAAATAGATGTATCTTAAATACACCAACAGAACTAGGATTGTCCTAACTTACTAGGTTTGTACTTCCTAGTCTTATTAACGACTGTCCCTGACTAATATTGTCACTTGAAGCATCACTGCATTTAGTAGTGCTTTTGCTGGTGTTTCAGACAGAGCCTTTGAGAGTCATTGCTTGGCAAGGCTCTTGTTATCTTCCCTAAGCTGTGAGTGGGTGGTTAATGAACAGAAGGAGAGATGGGGGGGAATAGTAGTCTGGATAAGTAATACTGTGGCCTGTTGAAATCCTGTTCAGGTGAAACTTTGGAAAGCAGCTGAATTTCTGTTTTGGATTGTGGTACTTGGACACTGTCGGATCATCCTTTCCTGAGTGTACTCCAGGACTAGGTGTCCTGGCTTTCTTTGTGAAGGAGTTAAAGTGAACCAGACAGTTGACCTTGGTAGTAGAAGTTCGTTATTTACATCGGTACAGTCCAGGCAGCTTAGGGTATTGTGCCTGTCCTCTGACTTCCTTTCAGAAGAATTAACAACCTGATCCTGAAAGCAGTGCGTATCTCTGGGTACATCACTGAATGCTTTGTTCCGTCCTGTCCTTCTAAAAGAAGGCTCTTATTTTTTTTTCTTTTGACGGCACTGTATATCTCAGTTCATAGTTAAACTCACATTTAAGATTGTGCTTGTGTGCTATTCCTGTGAAGTCATGGCACGCTCCCTCTGCTGGCATTAGAATATAGAATATTATTTCTATAGATCCTGCATATGTGTATATATACAGTGATTAATTTTGTTGCTGAAAGATTGGTTTCAGATGGGGATTTTTCCTAGTGTAGCTAGTGAGAGGGATACTGGGAAATACAGATTCAGATACAGAAAATAGTTCATATCCCCTCATTTCTTGCCTTCCTATCGTGTGGAGGATTGGTAGCAAAATGTAAAGCCTTTTTCGTTCCAAAAGCAATGCGTCATCAGTTCAAAAGCAGGTTATGACCCAGCGTGTAATAGCAAGGATGATCTGGTTAACCCATTTGAGACTGTTTATTCTCCCTATTTACCCATAAGAGACCTATTATTTTTCTAAAACTGTCATCCTGCTCTTGGATAAGTAATGTAATGATGACAGCCAGCTGATAAAAGAAGCTCCAAATAAGTAGTAATGGTTTCCTTGTTGCTAACTTGTCAACATGACACAATTTAGAAGGAAGAAAATTGAGCAGAATTGGCTTTTATGGCTTGTGTGTAATGTCTTTCAGACAGAAATGTGTATAACCTATTGATTTCATTTAAATTCTGCAGATCCAAGGAGGTGATCCAACTGGAACAGGAACAGGTAAGGTTGAGTTTGAATCAAGTAAATTATTTTCACTTCATATGCTGTGTTATTACATTTATTTCCAGACACCTTGTAGATTAAAGTTTTCTAAATGATGATTTGTGGTACGTGGTAAGTATTTCTACTTTAAAGCACAGATTTTATCTCCATATTTTTATTACCATTTTAACTGTGCTCAAAATTCTGTTGATATAGTCTCAGTCTGAAGCTTGGGCACTCTTCCATGTAGAATTCTTGTTAGGACTTTGCTTCCTTTTTCTTCCAGAAAATAAATAAATAAAGATTACAGTGATTTTACAGCTGGCTTTCCAGGACAAAGAACAAAGGGAGAAACACATTCATGCAAAGTCGCTTTCAGATTCAGTGTTAATGAAATACTTGCGTCCTGCCTTGGAATTGGTGAATGGCCAGATACCATCTGTTCTCCCAGCTAGCTGCCTTGTAAAACCCAAGCTGTTCTTTTTCTAACTTTTAGGGATCATTGTTATTAAATTCTTCTGCCTGTTCTTTCTCCCGTAGTTGGAGATCTACGTGACAGTCATATCAGAAATGGTCAGGAGGCATAGCAGCGGAAGGGTCCTGAGAGCGTTGCACACCACAGTAGATAGGCCATGTAATATTTCTAGTTGCTGCTGTAAATTCGCTCATTTTCCACTTGGATCTTTTATTTAGCCACTTCTGGATGTCACCAGCCTCCACAGTTCCTCACCTGGTCGTGAGCTGTTCTGTGCATTTTTATGCTAGTTCATACATGTGTCACTTGTACATGTAAGCATTATCGCAGAATCACAGAATCGCTCAGTTGGAAAAGCCCTCTGAGATCATCACGTCCAACCGTTCCTGTCTACCCCCTAAACCATATCCTTAAGTACCTCATCTACCCGCTCTTTAAACACATCCAGGGATGGTGACTCCACCACCTCCCTGGGCAGCCTGTTCCAGCTTCTGACGACCCTCTCAGTAAAGAACTTCCTCCTTCTCTCTAACCTGAACCTCCCTTGGCACAGCTTGGTGCAGTTTCCCCTTGTTCTATCCCCATCACCTGGGAGAAGAGCCCAGCACCCACCTCTCTACAAGCTCCCTTGAGGCAGTTGTAGGTGGTGATGAGGTCTCCCCTCAGCCTTCTCTTCTCCAGGCTAAACAAGCCCAGTTCCCTCAGCCGCTCCTGTATGTGCTCACAGATCATCCAAAGAAGATCTTTGTAGCTGTTAAATACTTTAGCTCTAGTTACTTTGTCAATAATGTTAGTGTGAGTTGCCCAACAGCTTTTCTTCTATCACATGTGATAATCAACAGTTGCATACTCTAAGGTTTGAGACTAGTTAAAGGTTCTGTGTTTTGATGGCAAAAGCCCATTAACAAGATTTGTTACCATATATGCTTGGACTGTCAGAAGAAATGTGATTTGATTTTGCTATACGGAAAGTTTCGGCTCAAATCCCTAAAGACGTAATTAGGAACATCTTTTAAAATGAGAAATTAAAGAGGTGTCAAGAGACATGGGAAGTTTAATGGGTTGGCTCAAACACCTTTCACCCTTGTAAGGTGGAGTTCAGATCCGCTGTGGAATGAAAATTACCTTGCTGGTGTCGTTCTTGCTCTGTTTGTGCGAATGGTAGAAGTATTGTAAGACAGCACAGTTAACAGTTGGGAGAGGACTGGCTATGCAGCTGCACTGAAGGTAAAGACTCAGCTCTACTGGCAAAACAAATAGGAAGTAAAATGCAAATAAGCGCATAGGAAAAAAAAATCCAATGTATATTTTTTTATTTTAAAAAGGTGTCTAATGACCTCCAGTCTTTTCTGTCTTGTTTTCCTCCCTGTCATTCTTAATTAAATATTAATATATTGCAGGCGAGATGTTTTGCAAACATCTGTCAAGACTATTAAAGTTCTAATAAAATGAACAGTGTGCACTCAAGTAGATATGAGCATTGCAGATTTTTAGAGACTGCTCGCAATTATTGTAGAGCTCAGACGATGCAACTGTATGCTTTGCAACTGAATGGGTTTTATTTTTTTGAAGACAGCTGAATTACAGATAGCCTTACTTAATCACTTATTGAATATTATAATATCACAAGAAAATGCTGTAAGTGGACACCCTTTTGAACTGTCGTGCCTGCGTGTTTAAGACTGACTTGAATGAAGCCGCCTGGACAGTTTGCAGAGTGCAAGCAGCCTGTCGGGATTTGTTCCTGACTACCTGATAGATCCCAGCCACTTGAATGTGAGGCAGAAATTTCACTTGTGTATCTTGAGCCACATGCTCTAAGAAAGTGGCCACACCGAAGGTACCTGTCTGGCTTTATGTTCCCTCTGCAGCAGCGTGGCCAGAGGAAGGTACAGCTTGGCAGCAGTGTAAGAACATGGCAAGTGTCGTAGTACTTTTGCAGGCTCCTGTGGTGTAAAAGTTTTGGTCCACTGGTTGTGCATTATTGATGTGATCACAAGCATTCGTGGTAGGAAAGCTTTGGAGTAAAGCTCTGGGATTAAGTATTTTGTACCTTTTTAACCTGGGTCTTGTATGTTATTTGCAGTATAAATTCCCTTTTTTATTTCTTCTGGCAGCTGGAAGGAATTTCAGTATTTCTTTGACTCAGAAAAAAAATTAAAAGGTGACTCTTTGAAAGCTAAAATCCATAAGATTTAATGGTCTTTAGAGGTTTACTGGGGGAGTAAATAACTTGACTTCTTATACCAGAGAAGCATGAGAGACTAGGATAGGGCTTTCTTCACAGATATTCAATTGGGAATAGGGGAGACTTTTTGGAGGTTACCTTTTTCACGTCAATATTTTAAACTGACAGAGTTGTTTCTGTTAGAGCCTTTTGTCAGAGGATTTCAGAAAAAAAGAACATCCTTTGTTTCCTTTTCCACATAGAACCTTCTGCTTTAACCAAAATTTTCTGGCTAAGAGGTTTGGGATGTTTTTTGTTGGTTGGTTGGTTTGTTAAAAAACCCCACCTTTTCCAAACTGATACGTGATACATTAAGCCTGTATATATTTTTGCTTTGTTATATTTATTTAATTCTTGCTGTTCATCAGCTCAGGAACTAGGACAGACTTGTTCAATAACCTTCCCACCATTTGGTTTCTGTCATCTGACATTCATCCCATGTTCAGCAACAGGTGTCAGGTTTATGGTTGCAACCCCCAAATGCTTTGATGATCACCCACTCCATTGCTAACTAAGCCCAGGACTGTTTGGCTTCTGAGTGGATTTGGGCACATTGAGTACTACATGACATAAGGTTACATGTCATATGTACATAGACTGCAACTGTGCTCTCAGCTCACGTACATAAGTGCACTTGTGTTTTGGAAACATTTCCCAGATGTAAGATGCCAAGCTGGTTGTCACTGACTGTCCGCTTCCACAGCTACTCTAGCTCATCAGTCCTCTCTGTAAGCACCACTGATCCTTACTGCTTTTTTTAGTCACCCCAATGTGTCCTTTTTGACCCAGCAGACACGTGAAGGACAACAGATTCCTGGTACTCAGCAGTTAACCTTGGGATGGAGGAGGGTGGAAATTAGCATTATGGCATCTAGGAGTTAAGGTGCCACACTGGGAAAAGAGCGGGGAATGGAGTCTTACCTTAGTTTTACCTTACGTCTGCATTGCAGAGCAGTTAGATACACAGGGCTGTAAGGCTGTCACTGATTCAGAGAACCAAACTAATTTCCTATGGCCTTCAACTTCATGTTTATAAGACTGCTAGGAGAAATGTTATTGTGCTGCCGCAGCTTATTTCTTTTCTAACGAAATAACCACCTATAGGGGCAATATTCAGAGCAATAAGCTGAGTCATGGTCAGTCTTTGTCATGATTAATTATTTGAAAATGAATTTTAGATTTGTGATGTATCTCTTTTCCTGCTATTCATAACAACTAAGTGGTTGAACATTGTGAGTAATTCTGTCTAACTCATGCTAGTGCAAGTGGAGCAGCTGCTCTGTATTTTCAGTGTTCCAAATAATAGAAGGAAATTTGCATGTAGGACAAATAGGTTTAATATCCTAACTCTTTTGTAGGAGAAAGGGAACACTATGCACAAAGCATTACATTTTCAAAGTGTCGCAGGCATTTCTCAGCTTCTCTTACTTGCAACCTGCTCAAAGGTCTCCTGAGTGTGCTTTTGTGTGCCTCTGTCCATTTATGAATCCAGGAGGGCACGAAGGAGACGTAGAATAGCTGTTAAAGTCCAAGGTAAAATACCACTGGTAGGTGGGAATTGCATTTTGGTTGGCAACGAGCAGAGCAAAAGACTTCTCCTCCCTCCTCTGAACTGCCGATAGCAAAGGACTGTGGACAGACTTGGTCAGTTCTGCAGTGTGATTTCCTAACAAGGCAAGTTCCTAAAACGTAACCAGTTTCAGAGCCCTTTTTCTTGCATGATTGAAGCTCAGGAAAAGAGTAAGACCCTTTCATCTAGTAATATACTCCTTTTAGATTGCAGCCCCTCTGAAAACCCAGCCTCTGATATGTGGGGTTTTAAGCACTGTGTCCTCTCATCTGAAAGGGGAGAAGCAGTTACCGTGAGCTAAGGCTTTCATATTTGCAAAATGATTCAAGAATCTCACTTGGAAAGCTCTACAGAAGTGTCAGATGTTATTATGTACCTCGTTGTTCCAAATGACAAGAAGAAAATTACAGAAAGTAAGCCATCATTTTTGTGAATCAGAGCCCTCCCACTTCCTTACCACTGCTTAGCAATTTTTATGCCAGAAAAAGGAAGGATTTATTTAAAAATCACAACTGTCATGAATGATGATTCCCAGCCCACACCTGGCTTTTGGAATGCTACATTTCTGAAGCTTTAGGTGCATCGCAGCTCTTTGCAAGAAAGTTGTACAACTTCTGTAATTTTACCCAAAAGATTACTTTCTGGAAAAAGAAACGCCTTTGGCAGGAACAAAGACCACCAAAGAGTAAGCTGGTTTAGTTCAAGAGACGATCTGAAAACGTCGTGCTTTTCTGTAGAGTTGCTAATGTGCGACTGCTTCAGATGTCAGTTTAGATCTAGTCACCTTTTCACTAACAGCACAAGATGCAGATACGAGACAGAATAACTAACCGTGCTTCAGTTACAAGCTAAATATATCTTGCCACTCTGGATAGCCATGGAAATTATGAATGCAGTCTAATTTTTTTCTATATGCTGTGTGATCTGTTTGGTTTCGTCTCTGTGTGAGAATTAGGTAAACACCTCTTAAATTAAAGAGATTTTTTTTTCTCTTTCATTAAAAATGTGGGGAAGTGGCTCCCAGCTGCCTTCAGCTTTGAATCCTGGTTAACTGGGTAGGCATGTGATTTTTATTTTCCCAATTGTGCAAAACCTCCTTCCAGCTCCTGAAGGCGTTGAGGTTTCACAGGATAGATGCTGCTGTTAGAAGGCGGCCAGTGTATTTCCATGGTCGATCCCAAGTACATTTCCAGCTTAGTGCAGACAGGAGCCCCACGTGTGCAGGGTTATAAGTACCGCTCCCTTTCGCATTCCCAGCACCAGTCCAACCAGTGGCAGCACCCGAGCGGGGCCGTGTCTGCTGCCATGTGAACCCCTTTGATTTTTAGCACTGGATTTTTTTCCAGCGCTTTTTGTAATAGGATCTCAGAAGCATTTGCAAGTCCAGTAGGCACAGAGCTGCACTGTGACAGAGGATAATCTTATCGGGAAGTGAGTGGAGGGGAAGGTGAAGTGACAGCAGCGCTGCCCGCTGTGAATTGAGCACCCAGAGCCAATTCCTGTTTTCCGTGGGCTTTGCTCGTAGGCTGGTACATCAGCTTTGGGGTGAGGTTTTTGCATCATTGTGACTCCATACGTAGTCAGTGGTGATCTGTGCACGCTCAGAGGAAGATCTGGGGAATATAAGGAGGAGCCTCCTGTCTTTGTGACACATACCGTGAGTGTAACGTGAGAGGGCCAGAGCTACACAGTGCTATGGTCCCTCCTCCTCTGTCTGCATCCATTCTGCTTTCAGAAAACGAGGAAGATGGCACAGCCACACCTCCCAGCCGTGCAGGGAATAAACACACAGTAAAATCTGCTAGATGCTTACAAATGCCTCATAATTATTAGTAGTTGTTTTGGAGCCTGTGAATTATTTTTCCAAGTTTACATTGAGCACTACTGTAAAGAGTGAAATGTAAGGTTCTAAAACGCCAGCTCCTGATCCCCCTGGCTGAGCATTGGGCACTGTGCTGCCATGGCAGTAGACTAACGAGGGATCTGTACTTAATCTTTAGAGAGAAAACTATTCTAGATTTCAGTAATTAAAAAAAACATATTAATTTAACTCCCCATCTTCTGGCTTGCTTTGTCTGGTCCTGCTTCAAGCAGATACTTGAAGTCTGGAATGGTTCCAGAGGTTAGCAGGAGTGTGACAAACAGCACATCCAGGCTATTTTTCATTTAAGCAGAATATATTTGGAGTTTTCATTCTTTTTTTTTTTTTTAAGTGTTCTTAAATTGAAAACTCAGGGTTTTTTCTTTTCTTTAAAAAGCAACAAAAAAGCCCAAAGCAGTCCTGTACTGCTGTCTCACTGCCTTTGCAGTGTCCCCACTGCCTCTTGCCAGCCCGTGCTGCCAGCCCTCCGCAGACACTTCAGCTATGTCCTTTACAGGACGCCTGGCCTTTTAGGCCATTCTCTGTTCCTGCTGCAGCTCCTGGGCAGACAGAATTAGCCTTGGAAACAGCTGTATGGCAGACAGAGGGGGAGGCAGGGACTGGATCTCGTGCTGTAACTATCTACTAAAATATTAGTGTTTATTTCCAGAGAACTGGAACGAACCAAAGTTAGCGTTCATACATATGAGATTAATTCTGACCTGCAGTGTATGGTCTGAAATGAAATCATACAAAAATAAAGATTCCTAAACCTAAAGAGCTCATTGCTCCAGTCTGCAAGCTCTTGGGTCTGGTTGCTGCTTGTGCCAGAGAGAGAGACTCTCTCTGTCATTCACAATTTTTCCCTTTCCTTTTGAATTATTTTTCTGATGAGCAAAAGCTTCAGGGTTGATTCCGCCCTCTTTCAGCAGCTTGACAGCTCTGTAATTCCAACGTCAGCTGAAAACATATGAAGGGAGTAATGGACTGAAGTGGTTTGGCCACTTGCTGCTATGGACCATCTGAGTGGGATGTGTTCATGTCTGTGAATTATGTGAAAATTTCTAGGCAACAAACACTCTTCTGCTCTAGGACTCGTAGCAAGTGTATCTGCTTAACAAATAATGAGGAGTTCTTTCAAGAGGTCCTTTGAAGCAAAATTAATGTATTTCTCTAAGAGAAGTCCAAGCAAAGTTTGTTACTCAGGTACAAAGAGCTCTGGCCGTGGCCAAAAACAGAAATACAGGGCCTGAAGCACTGGACCACGGTGGTGTGGGCAGGGAACACATCCCCGATGCCGCCCTGCCAGGCCAGATTGAAGTGGAAAGGTGAAAATTGTGAAAGGCAAGGAGAGCAAGAACCAGTGCACAGAGCACGGTGCTGTGGATGGGCAGTGACTCTGCAGCCTTTGCAGGTGTGTTTCTGGTTTCAGGCAGCACCTGTTGGTGTGGAGCCTTGCTGTATTCTGAGCTTCACTTGTTTATTTACTAACCTACAAGAACTTCGTTTTTCCAAACAAGGCAGGTAACTGAAGCACTGCACAAGTAACCTCTCTGAGCAAATAGGAGGGAGATTCATGAGCAAAGAAAATTACTGGCTTCTGCTGAGACATTTTCTAATAGGTTGAACACTATGGTTTTGGTGAGAATAACTGTTCCATCTTCAAGACAGCAGAGCTGGCTGCAACTGTGCCGTATCCCTTTCACCCACTGCTGGAAGAAATTGGCATATGGGATCAAGCTGATGTAATTGAACTGATCTTAAAATAGTCAATAGCCAAAGATTGCTGAAGTAACCATTACAGAAACCCCCTGCAGGGTTTGTCCCCTTTTGCTGCCTCTTGTCACATTGGAGAGCAGGCAGCACTCAACTTTATTAATAGGTGTTTTGAACGTGATTAATTGGGTTTTTAAGTGGGTCAGTTTCTTCCAAAATTTCTCACTCACTTGGCTCCATTTGCACTCACAGCTGTCCACCTGTGATGCTTTGTTTTTGTGGTATCACCTGAAACTTTTTTCTCATTTGATGCACTTCTGTGATTTTTCTGCATAAGGTTTTCAGTAGGAAGCTGTTTTATTCCTCAGTTTTATTTGCTGCTTGCCTGTGCAGCCATATCAGCGAATTGCTCTCCTGTATTACATATGCAAATAGCCGTTGAGCACTGCAGGTCCTTTACTGACCTCCTGCTTCGCAAGTGATACAGTTACTCTGGAGGATTCTTGAGCCAGTCGTGCAGATGGACCAGTCTTGCTGCCTGTTTAGTTGTGTTTGTTTTATTTTTAATACTATCCTAAGGTGAAATATTTTTTTCATGGTTTGTCAAATGTGATTATGGATTTGACTGTAAAACTATGACTCATCCCAGCCTTCGTTTTTCTTATGAAGAATGATCCTGGAGGAAAGTGCAAATGAAAATGTCAGCTGTGTCATAAATAATGTAAAAATGACAGCCAGGAGGAGAGGTCTCCCAGACCCTCTTTCTACCCACAGACACAGAAAAGAAACCAGTTTTGGAGGACTGAGTCTATGGCTTGGGCAAAGTTTTATCATCCTGTTGACTTCACTGCTTTTAAGTGTTTACATCAGCTGGGTGTCTAGTCCAAATATCTAATTTTTGCCTCTTATTTTGAAGGAATATATATCGTCATTCTTCATTGTTAGCCAGGAATTAAGCATTTGAGCTTATAGCTCCTATTCTTAGTTGATTCTATGAATGTATTTCATCTCCTTGATACTCTATTTCCCGAAGCAATGCCATATCCAGAGTGCAATTAAACTGGCAATTCTTTGCTGTGCGTTTTGTCAGGAAGCCACTTTTAAAGATTTCATGTCTCAAAAAAGAAAAATTATGGTGGACCAGCAGTGAAAAAATTAAATTCTTGACAGTTCAGCACTCAATATAGAATGCTGTGGATAAACAGTCTGGTCTGGTGCAGTTCGTAGTGTGGGGGCACAGAATTGTGTTGCCAGTTACAAACATCTGATTTCAAGGGTGTGCTCAAACGTTTGCCTAGTGATGGGAGTGAGGTAAGCATATTATACCCATAGTGATCAGAAGTGCCAGAAACCTTGAATTTCATGTCAGTGCCTGTTATGAAATGTAGTGGAAAGCTAATGAAAACAAACATTTCTTCTGTCATCTTTTCTCTTTTAAGGAGGAGAATCTTACTGGGGAAAACCTTTCAAAGATGAATTTAAGCCCAATTTGTCCCACACAGGACGTGGTGTTCTTAGCATGGCCAATTCGGGACCCAACACAAACAAATCGCAGTTGTAAGTAGTCACTTGCATTTTGTGTTTTATTGTTTCCCTCTAGACATTGTGTCTCACTCTGTTAAGAAAACAAATGACATTTTATGAGCTACTCTTTAAAGTTCAGTCAAGTGAAATATTCTGTCAAGTGCTGCATATTGAAATCAGGGTAGTTCCAGTTGCTGTTACCCAATTTGAAAGCAAAGTGAAGCATGGGAAGAAGACCTGTAGGTTTATTATATCATCATGGATTTGTCTTTTCTGTTTTTATGATTTGAAGTTTTTGTTCATTTTTGTCAGTGTCCCTGCGCTGTTATCCCTGTGAGATCATTGCACCTCTCCATTCTGTTTAAATTTAGCCCCATATTGAACTTCTTGAAAGGGCTTAATGAAATGAAATGAAACACATACTCTATGGAAATGTTGCTTCTTTTTACTCACCTCATTTTAAATAAATGAGAATAGTTTTGCACTGTTGAAATGTGTAGAACCCAGATGTGGCAGAATGGAGAATCTAGGGTCGAGAATGGCTTGGTTTTCAATGTACAAAAGCTGAGTGAAGACTAAAATGAGGAAAAAAAAATAAAGAAGCAGGAAGAACAACACATGAAATGTAAAGACACTGAAGTTGTAATAACCTTCTTTACATGTAACGTTCATGTGGATGTTTGCCTGCAGTCTCTTGAAAATGTTCTGTGTCACTTTGAGCCGACTATTTATTGGTTGCTCTCTAAGTACTGCAGCAGAAAAAAGTTGTCCCTTTATTGGGAGCCCTGGGAAAGAGAGAGGGAGTGTGTGTGTGTGTGTGTGTCTCGGGACTGGGGGGAGAGAGAGAGGGGTTTCTTGGTATTGGTCTTCGTGATGCTAAGTAGTATTATATCTTGTAAACTATGCAGTGGTGTGGTTAGCTTTAATTAAACGCAAGTGCTTGTCTTAGGGCCTTTAATAGGCTTACTCACATACCTAAGGCTAAGCACATGTCAGGCAGTTTGCAGGATCGAGTTGCTATAAGCTTATTTTGGATTTGAATGTTATTGCCAGCACTCAGGTGCTAAATCAGGGGAGAGTAGAGGGGTTTTTTTTAATGGATTCTAGAAACAGGAGTTACAGAGACAGTTCATGAGTGATGTGCCATATTGAGTCACATCATCTGCTGCTGTAAATGTGATTGTATGTTTCACTAAAATTTGCAAGTGAAATATGAAATTCCTCTGCATGTAAAGTCCTTGAGAGACTCCAGCTGCCAGTATTTATAAAGCTTCCCAGGCCATGTTTAGACCCTTCTGGCAACTGCTGTGACCTTATGAACTGAGTGAATAGCTCTCCCCATAGGTAATAGGCACTGCAGCGCAGAGTGAGCTGGGTTCCCTGTGTAAGGTGATGTTTGAATAATGCTTAAGACTTCTCCTCTGAGCTCATGCTGAATTACATTAATTCCATTGTGCTTAATTTATTTTTCACTGCACTGATGGATGAGAAGCTTTCTCTGTATATTTGCTACTGCTCACTGTTTTTTAAATTACGACACTACGTAACTAACCACTTGATAATCTCAAGTATTGGATATCTGGGAATAAACTGGCACAAAGTACCCATGCACAAGGCTAAGATATAACGGTTGCCCTGTGTAGGAGTTTGCATTCTGCACAGCATCTCAAAGCTTTCCTAGGGCAAGCTACGTCTTAATAGATTGTCTGCCAGATTGCAGCCCCTTCTATTTGCAATCATATAACTTCCTGAGGCAGATGCTTATATGGAAAAGTGCTTTTGGAATGCTTATATATTTTTAGCTGTCTCTAATGTAGTGTAACAGATGGAGACAAGGAGAAGAGCCAGCACTGCCTGTCCAGCCAAGATGGGCAGCCGTGGTCTGCAGACCACAGCGTGGAAACCTCTGTCTCATACACTTGTAGTCCAAGTCTTCCAAAGAAGCATTACGTATTAGAGAAAAGTTTTAGTAGTAAAGGTTCCTTTGGATTTGGTATTTTACTTCCCATGTTTAAGTTTAAAAATACAACCCCCCCGGAATTAAAAGTCTAATTAATTAAAAATTAAAAATCCAAGTTTCACAGATTTTAATTACTTTGACACTTTGAAGTATTCTTCTGCCGTGTTTGTATCCAAAGCACAAATTTGCTCTGCCCAGAGAATCGGATCGCCAGCAGGCCAATTTAATGGAAGAGAAATGCAAAAAGTAAATATCCTAAAAGACAGAAGTTTACACTGGCAGAGACAGTTGTGTTATATAAATGTATCTGCTGGATACAAGCTCCCAGTCATGCACGAGAAATGTACTTCTCAAACAGGATGCACGTCTCCCTGTCCTGCATGAGCTTCCCATGGCCTGCGTGGCCAAGGAGACAGATGCTCAGATTAATTCTGGACTTTGTGTGAGTCACCATGCTGGGAGTACTGTTTAGAGATGTTAGTAAGGTGTGAAAATGAGACGGCAAAACTCCAGAAATACAAGACGATATCTGCAAAAGTTAAAGGATGTTTGGCCAGAGAGGAGCCAGAGGGAGAGGGGCTTGTCTTCTCTCTGAGAGCTTTTACATACACTTCTGGTTTTAAGCATTACTGGCTGCTGTTGAGTGTCAGTGAGATAATGTGCTAACTGTCTTTATTCCTTCCAGCTTCATCACATTCCGTTCCTGTGCATATCTGGACAAGAAGCATACAGTTTTTGGAAGGTAAGTAAGGATATTATGAGCAGCAGTATAGCAGCCATGCTCTCCTGTGTGTCTGAAGCCTAAAGAGAAGAATCTAGGGGCTCTTGCAGTTGAACTGGAGCAAAATCCTAGCTCACAATCCAGTTCTCCTGGTCATGAGTAGGTGGCCAACATCACATCAGTACCAGTCATCAGACTCTGCCTTTCTTTTTTTCCTTCCATTGCCATAAGTTGCCTTACTTCTTTTCTGTGGGTGGCCCTCCAGGGAGTCATGAACAAAGTAATCATCATCCTGTAACCAACCATGTTAATATTTGTGCATGCTAATTGCTGGGACACAAGAGATTGCCTCTTCAATGCTGCTTTCATCCTCTTACGAGCTGTCAACCAGCAAATTAGTCATGACAGGGCTGCTCTTCATCATGGCATAGAACATACAGCTTTTGCATAGGTTAGGTCTTTTGGCCCCTTTTATTCTTTTTTATTCTATTCTTTTATTTCTGGCAATTATTGTCAGTACAAACTCTGTATGTTTGTGTGCTTGCATGTGTGTACATACATACACGTTTATGTGTGTGTATATAACGATATTACCAATGCCAAGACAGCAAGGGAATCACAGAATCCCAGACCGTTAGGGGTTGGAAGGGACCTCAAAAGCTCATCCAGTCCAATCCCCCTGCCGGAGCAGGAACACCCACATGAGGTTACACAGGAAGGCGTCCAGGCGGGTTTTGAATGTCTGCAGAGAAGGAGACTCCACAACCTCTCTGGGCAGCCTGGGCCAGGGCTCTGTCACCCTCACTGAGAAGAAGTTTCTTCTCCAATTTCAGTGGAACCTCCTGTGTTCCAGTTTGTGTCCGTTACCCCTTGTCCTATCATTGTTTGTCACCGAGAAGAGCCTGGCTCCATCCTCGTGACGCTCACCCTTTAAATATTTATAAACATTAATGAGGTCTCCCCTCAGTCTCCTCTTCTGCAAACTAAAGACACTAAAGGAACTTCATTCTTTAGAAAGAAGTCTCTTCCAAAAGCCTTTTCCAGTCAAGTGCTCACATGATAAAGATCAAGGTATTTATTGCAGAAGATATTACAAAATCTTTATGTTACGGTTTGTTCTTTGCCTCCTCTGCTGCAGGTACATGGCATTTACCAAGCCATGCATTGTTCTAACAAATGCCTCAGTGCAAATGGCAGGAAGGGGAATTTGACTAGCCTGCTTCACTGGTGGTTCCTGAGGATTTTACAGTCTTTTTTAAATGAAGTTTTGTTTTTTGTTCTTTTCATAGTTTCATCTGTTCAAAAGGTGGCAATTGAAAATAAATGCATGTGCTGTTTACTTTGATTGGATGTCACACAATTGTGCTGTACACTGCAAGTGATATCTTTAATCCATCTTCTCTGCCTGTGAGTTCTTGAGGCAGAAGCTGGTTTAATTTCAAGCAGTTATTTTAGTGCCATTAGTTCCACTACTGATTCTGCAATAATTGCACCCGTTGAAATGTCTTCATTTTTTCACATCTGTCTTAGAAAAATTTGAAGCTCCCTTGTCATTTGGTGGAAGCAGATAAATAAAGCCAATTCTAACACTGAAAGCTGAGAGCAAGTATATTCTTGGAGAAGTTTTATTACCCATATCTTAAGACTATTTCACTTAAGCTAATATCTGAGTCCTCCTAGCAAAAATCCCATTAAATCCCATACGGTGATGCTGTTAACCTGAGCTTGCCACCTCATCAAATAGTATTTGGGTTAGGACAGCTCAGCTGAAATGTGGCTGTTGTTCAGTTCTGGATGCAACCTGGTTTGAGTGAGCATTCTGTAGAGTCCTGCAGTGTCTTTGCTGTGGCTCCCCACTCTGCTCCAGTTCTACCATAATCCACCAAGAAAGGATTTAGAGCGTAGCTGAGCTTACTGCAGTGCACCCAGAAGCCTTCACACCACACATAATGTCTCGAGTACCTTATGAGCAAAATAGCTCACCTGATGTTTCACATTATACTTCACATTATACCTTCAGAGAGGAATTACTTCAGTCCAAGTAAATCTGGTTAAGTGTATAGCTGAGGTTTATGCAGTTTTAGCAGAGACCATAATAGTTTTTGAATTGTCCTTGTTACTACAGAACTCTGAACTTGGTAAAGAAGTAGTGCTGCTCTCTGAGCACTGCAAATATTCTTAGCTGAAATACAAAGGAAAAACTTAATAAAAATGTTGGTTTAGAGTCATGTTTGGCTCCCTGCATGAAAACTGAGTGACATCTCGATCTGAACGCAGAGCAGGTGAATTTTACTCTGGACCATCTTGCATGTAAATGAAGATTAATTCAAATAATGTAAAAAATTAAGATGCTGGGATAGATGCATTCCAGTCACTCTATATTAATCTGCAAATTGAGTACTTGAATAATTGAATGTACCTGCAAATTTAATATGAAAGGCTGATGTGTGCAGCTCTTAAAGATCTGTATTCTGTCATCAAAATCCTTCAGCTGCATTTGTTTTTAAAAGCCATAAAAAGCAAAAGATTCCAGAGATTGTGAAACTCCAGCTTCAATTTGCTATTTTAGGTCCTGGGTGTTTCCAGGATTTGGTGACTTATATCTGATCTTAGACTGTACAGTACAATAATATCTGGGCAGCACATCTAGGAATAATATCTAGGTTTAAGAATTGAATGAACCCATGAAATCAGAATTCTTTGTTTCCATGAATGTCAAATTGTATTGTCTTAATTGGATGCTCACTGGCCTGTTGTGACTTCCCTATCGGTTTGAGGATTACTTATTTCAGTTCTCAACCGTGCCCTCAGTTATTTTTATGTGGCTCTGGTTCATGTCAGTGAGTGTCACGTATGTATCTTTGAGAGCAGAATTTGACCTGTTTGTATACAACTTGTCAGCAGGCTTTCCCTACTTCTGAGAAGAACAAAAAAAGGGCAAAAGAGCAACCCTTCCCCACCCCACTGCTTTCTTGGTTTTTTGAGTCCTGTGTGGGATGAGACATTGAAAAGTACAGTCTCTGGAGAGCTGCATCTTGTTCACAGCCCCACTGGTTTGATACACAGCTTTTGCATAGTAGCAGCTATTAGGAGTTGGATGTTTGGGTGGTAACTGTGTTTGGAAAACACACCAGCTGCAGGCAGCGGGACTGTGAGGAGATGGCACCTGTCTGGCTTGGTGCACTGGAATTTTCAGGTCTCAGGAGGAGGCTGTGGCTGGAGCACAGGGAGGGCATCTTGTCATGATTGAGTTGCCCACCATAGCAATAATGAGGATGGATGTTGCTGAAAATTAAGGAGATAATTTGGCATGGCTGGAGAGCAGAAACAAAGGCAGAGTGAGAGAAGAATGCCATCCCCTGGAGGTGTGTTGCAGGCTGCACAGAATTCCTGCTCCAGCAGAGCTGCCTAGATTCAATTAGTAATTACCATTTCTAGTAATTACCATTTCTCCTGACTTAGAGAGTGCTGTAATTAATGTGAAAACTGGTGACTTTTGTAGGCTTCAAGCTTGCTGGTAAGAGGTTTAATTTAGAAACTCAGATAATATAAACCAGCCAGCATGCATTTGATCTGCACAGAGTGGGTAAGAAGCATTTGCCGGTGACTGCTGCGTGGGGAAGGTCCTGTCTGCTGCTATCATGGGCTGTGTGCAAGGAGGCTCCCCCTTAGTCATGCTGCAACTGAGAGTTCAGCTGTTGTGTGAACTGCATGAGCTACAGGGATGTTACAGCCAAAACACCAACACAGGCTCACATTCTTGTCTGGTGTGCTTTATGAAATCTAGATGCAAGCACATCCCATCCGTATTGTTATTATATTTTCTATTATGCCAGTGGTTCACAGCTCCTGTAGATCAGAGACCTGGTACATTTGCCCTTTATAAGCAGAAATAGAAGCATAATCTCTGTCCCAGAGAGCTGTGTAAGTAGCAAAGAGACTGCATATAGATACAGGGAAGTTGTGACAGAGACCCCTTTCAGCCCACTGACAGTTTGCACTTTCTTCAGAACCAAGGAACATTTTCTTTTCCTGTGCCCTGGGAAAAAATTAAATGGCTTTGTGGATGTTTTGGGGGGCTCTCTTGCAAAGCTAAAAGGACACAAGAAGAAGTGCATGTTTAAAATAATAGTGGAATGTGATTGAGCCATGCTGATCAACGGGAGTAGAGAAATGCTCTGTTTGAATTTTGAGTGAGATTTAGGACAAGCAGGGCATGGTGGGCTGGAAAGTGAGGGCCGGTTGCAGGTTTGCAGGGATGTGATGTGATGTGATTAAAAGCAGGGCAATAAAGGGAGTGAAAAGTGTTGTGGTCAGAGTGGCAAAGCTGGAAATTATCTGTGCAGCAGTTCTGTGTGTTTAATAGAGCATCAGCTTAGTCTTTTCTTCCCTCCTCCCCTTGCCAGATGCTTTTGTGGAAGAGTTTTCTTTCCTTGGATAAATATCACTCTGCATTAAATATTCCTTAACCTGTTTAATGCTTTTTACTGCAATTCTGTAGAATGGGACAATGAAAGTAACTCTTGTCCTGTAAAGTAATTAGCTACATAAAACAACTACCAGGCATGTTCGGTTACCTGGGTACGGTTAAAAAACCCACTTGTTACATTCCCTGTATGATTTCAGTCAGTGAACTCTGATGGCTTCTAAGCTGGGAAACTCAAGTTCTTATTGCTCTTCTGCTTTAATACATCTGAAGAACGGAGAAATGGTGTGACAGCAGAAGAGCTGGTTCTGTTGTCGAATCAGTGTAGGGAGCTTGACCTAATTTTGCACTGCAGAGTCTGCTCCCCAGGCACCAGGATAGAAGTGAAGAGCAAGGTGGGAAAATAAACCAGGTCTCTGTGTGGAAGCCGTGGCCGTGATTTCATGTAGCACACGAGGACCGGGCTGTCGAAGCTGCACGAGGGCTGCTGTTGCTTCCGAAACAGCTGTATGATCTCTGAAGAGGGCCTGTGCCAAAGCACAGTAGTCCTCATGTGTCAGGTTCATCTGTTGAGACTACTTGCACAATGTCTTTTTTCC